TCATCAGTGAGTGTTAACATAAAGTGCAATCTGAATAAAGAATATTATGATTGCATTGTTCACAAAGCACAAACTTTTATATTTTACTCTTTTTTTTTTTTTTTTTTTACAACATTTGTTGTATTAAGTCAGTTGTATCCCCATCAGCTTCCACAAAGTGAAACTAACCTCCTCATGAAGCTGGTGGTGCTGGATAGGCTCTGGTTGTGTGTCTGTTGTCTCCACTAGTGTTTAATGTCTGACCTGCTCCCTTACTGACAAACAGGTCAGTTATTTTACAGCACTGAGCTGATCTGTGGCTCTCTCTCTCTCTCTCTCTGCTCCACCTTTCCTCTTGGGCTGTCGATCTCGCTCCATTTTTCAAGCCTGTAGAACTACAGGTGAGGGAGGAGGGGGCGGGGGCGCACCCTTGTGTGTGTGTGCAAAAATAAATTGCGATTAAATGCGTTACTTTTTTTGTCGTGTTGTTTTTTCTGTAATTAATTAATCGTAATTAACGTGATAAAGTCCCATGGTATAAAACTAAAATCAAATAAAAAGGCGTTGGTGCTTATGTTTATTGAGACTGCCTGAATGAGTCAATTGCAACTGTGTGACTGTGAGTCCTAAAACCTAATCTGAACTTCTTAAATCTAATAATAATAATGAGAGGAACCAGTACTGGGACAAAGCAGAAGTTCACATCAACGGACACAAAATGTATTGCAACAGCAGCAACGTGACTCTCCTGACTCTCCTCACAGACACACATCATTTAAAACAAGATTATAATGATCTGCTCTCTCAGTCAATGTTCAGTTGCAGCTCTGTGATCTCTCAGTAAATAATAATTAGTATTCAGTTAAGCCGTAGTATAAATAGTATTTTATATTTAAGTGTGTCAAAGGAAATGTGGGGGATCCGGTTTAAAGGAGCTGATGCAGATATTGTGAGACTTAAAGCTGCAGTCAGTCTGTAGACTGATGTTTACACTGTATAGACAAAGCTAATGTTATTATACTGTGAGGACTGAACTAATTACCAGGCAGCAGAGACAGTTTATAGTTAGTATTTAATCTACAATGTTAATGTTAATATTGTTAAATTATGAAAGCTTTACCTGAATCCCTTCAGTTTTGATGATATGTATTTTAACCTAACTGCTGTTTCTTGTTTGTTCTTTTGTTTTCCTCACAGCAAACTCACAGTTGATTTGTTCACATCAACCAATCACAGTCCTGGCTGGTGATGATGTCATTCTACCATGTCACCTTGAACCTCCCATCAGTGTTTCTGATGAGACAGTTGAGTGGACCAGACCTGATATAGACCCAAAGTATGTCCACTTTCACCAGGATGGACGACTGATGTTTGACTATCAAAATCCATCTTATTATCTCCGCACGAGACTGTTTATGGATGAACTGATGACAGGAAACGTCTCCATGAAAATCTTCAAAGTGAAAGTTTCTGATACAGGAAGATACCAATGTGCCCTTCCCTCATTACAGAAGGAAGCTTCCATCCAGCTCATTGTTGGTAAGTCAGACTGGGTTTTATAAAGGCAGAACATTGACTGAGCTCAGTATTTTAATTAAAGGAACCAGTGGGGGCATTAATAGTGCACCTGTTAATGGGTGCCCCCTTAGATCTCAATGCGTCCAACTCCAACAATAATGGATGGAAAGACATGATTTTGCACGTCCTTTTCCACATTTTCTGGAAATTCTGTTGAACTTTGCAATACATTTGAATGGAAACCAGCCAGTTTGAATTATAATTGAGAAACAAAATGTCCAATGATGCAACAGGAAGTCTAAAAACCCTGCAGGATCTGATGTGAACTGGGGTGGCCAGACATTGGGGTAATTTATAAATCATAATTTATAAACTGTACCCCCTAGCTGTACTGAGACAGGGTTGAATTTAACACATTTAATTTTAAAATGAACATGATACAAGAAAATTAATTTAACTTAATTAATTAATTTTATTTATTCACCTACATAGTGCATCAGCAAGGTCAGAGAAAGAGTGAAATTATACCCTCCATCCAAAACTCCACAAACCAGAAATTATCTCGGTGAGATCTACAGTCTGTTTGTTGTGTACACTTAGGGGTACTTTTGCTGTACTAACGTGAACAACATGTCTAATCTTTAAAAGACTGCTGACACTCCTGCTGTGCAAAGCCTTCACTCAGCACATTACCAAACCAGATCCTATGCATATTCAACAAATTCAAACCATGTATTGTGTTAAAAACACACATTCAAAGACATGGCTCTGTAGCAACATGTCTCAGGCTATGAGATTTGCATGTATCCAAGACTGCATGCAAATCCTTTTATTTCCTGCTCCTCTGATAATCTGCTCCATGATCCACAGCTCAACCGTCATTTTCTACAGAATTTTTGCATGCTGGAAAATGTGTCGGGGCTTCAAACAGCAGCTGTCCCAACACAAGAAAGAAAATTAGTGTGGAGACATAAATGAATACATAAATAGAACTGTGTGACAGAAGTTTTTCCCATTAATCTGTTAATTATCACATGCATAATCTTGTTTACAGACTTGACAGTTACCATCTTAACATACACAGAGAGACATCAACAATGGCATTTGCTGGTCTTCTCACTATTTAGGTGCACACAGACAGAAAAGTTACATCCCCTTATAAAGTAGAAAAAAAATCTGAATCCAACTACTGCCATTAAACAAAACACAAAGAAAAACTCCAAAACACACAATGGTGGCACCAACCAACTCTGAGGCAGGCTTCTTCTGATGAGGTCTCGCTTGAGGATTGACCAGTTTCATTCCTGGTTTACCAATCAGCAGCAAGGCCAGACTACCACAGAAACCAATTTCCTTCATTAGGACCTGGAGAGAACACAAGGCAGGGGCAGAGAAAAACAGGAAGAAAAACACAGGCCATGCTTGGCATGTTACAGTAAATAAAAACAAAATGGAATATTTCTGAATTTTAACCTCTGTGTGCAGTGCAGCTGTTATTAACTCTCTCCACTGTGTGCGTGTGTGCAGGAGCTCAGCTCTGTCCACAGTGAACCACTGGACTGAGCTCCTGGTCAGAGGTGAGGCAGAGAGCGGTGGAGAGCCGCATATTCAGCCTGCGAGTGCAAGTGCTACAAATCCCTGCAAACAAAAAGCAAGTTAGAGTTATTTATTAATGTACAGAAGAGGAAAATAAACATCCAGTAAAATACAGTTCATTCAGCTAACTCAAAGGCTGCACTGAAGCAACAAACACTGCACACACTTTCAAAGAGAGAGAGAAACTTCCTCCAGACAGCAAAAAGAGATTACAGGAGAGTCCGTCAGGCTGTTTTATAGTTTTGATAATTAGTATAGTATAAGAAAACATTAATTTTACATATAAAACATTCTTAATGCAATTCAGCGACATTCACCTGTATTATAAAGCAATCACAAGTATTGAGTTAGGACTATGATATTAATTTAATGAAACTGAGGATCAGCAGATACTAATGTAAATGTTTGTATAAATCATCATTATCTTTTATAAAAGTTAATGTGTTTCTCCTAAAACCTTTACTGGCCAGTGTTATATACATTATACACATACATACATATACACATCATTGTTCTATACATTATAACATAATGTATAGAACAATGCAGTTAAACGACTGTACCCTCTCTGAAATAACAGACACATTGTAAAACCTACAGTATAACCCAATGTATTTTTCTGTTTGACTAATTAATAATAATAACATCTTATCTCATCACAACATTTTACTGGCTCAGATAAGCATGTATATTAGATTGTAATGTGCATGGAATAATGGAATTATACTTACATTAAATATCTAGCATCAGTCTCCCTGCTCTCTAAATATCTACACTGACCAATAAAAAACCCCTATCAGTCGAACTCTAATACTGTAATGTAAAGATTCTCAATTAGGATCAGTGTTCAGTGATTCTGTAACAGGAAGTGTAAATATGATGTTTGTCTCTGCAGGAGAGTCTGATGTGATTGGCTCAGACAAACCAGTTACAGTAACAGTCGGTGATAACGCCATCCTGCCATGTCACCTGGAGCCTCCATCCAATGTGAGGACTCTAACGGTGGAGTGGACACATGATGGAGAATATGTGCACGTCAGTCGACATGGGAAGGACTATCTAACTGATCAGGATGAGAACTTCAGAGGTAGAACATCTGTCTTCCATGAAGAAATGATCAGAGGAAACATTTCACTAAAACTGACCAACGTAACTGAACTGGATGCTGGAAGTTACACCTGCTTTGTTCCCAAACTGCAAAGTCAGGTCAGGAGAGGCTTCATTAACCTCACTGTTGGTGAGTACAGCTAACATATTACACATTCAAAGGATATAAGAGGAAATGTTCTCTTTGTCACGTCTTAAAAGTTTTGTATTAATTGTCCAACAGAGCCAGTGGGAGGTCAGACTGGTGATATCAGTAAGTAAATATCTTATTTCTATCTCCATCAGCTGTCTTCTCCTCTTGATCTGAATGTTATCACATATATTTTTTTTTTGCACATTTGATTTTTTTTCATTTGATTTGATTTGATTTTATAACAAATAATGAACTCATTCATCACCTCAGACCACACTGATAGAGGACTACTGAAAGGTCCAGTGTGTAACATTCAGGAGGATCTATTGTCACCACCATGTTTCTACAGTAGCCCAGAACACATTTGGAAGTTTTATTCACTTGTTTGCAATCTGTAACTTCACCACTAGATGGCACTGAATCCTCCACAGCGGTCCTTTAAATAACCCTGGATCCTCGTATTTCTGGAGAATATTCTCACTGATAATACTGTTTGTTTACTGTTGTGCAATGAAAGAGATTCTAACCAACAGACAGTTTTGGTGGGATGGACTCCAAGTACACATTGAGACCATGAACAGGAGAAGTGGCTGTGGAAATATTGTTGATGGATGTTATCTTGGAACAGTGAAGAACAAATCTCAGCATTTTTCCTCTGTTCTTTCAGGTGGTGGCACTGGTGCTATAACTGGCATTGCTCTTGGTGTCATTGCTGTCATTGCCATTGTAGCAGTTGCTGTATTGATGAAACGTAGAAAGATCAGTAAGTCAATAATCTTCTTTCTCTCCATTTCCTCCATAAAAAGACAGTTTTCAGTTTTTCAGTCAGTCTTCAAACAACAGTGAAGAGTGAAACAGGTTTTTCTTGCTGTAATGGTTCCTCCTGTTATACTGGACATTAAAGATCTCTTCCTAAAGTACTTTCAATGGAAGTGATGAGGGGAACAATCTACAGTCCTCCTTACATGGAAACATGTTTTCAGAAGTGTATCTAAAGCTAATATCAGCTAATATGTGTTTATAACTCCATCATTTATTTAGAAATCATTTATTGGGGGGGTCTGCACCCTGCCTCTCATGTACAGTGTGTCTGAGCTTTCTCACTATCCTGCTGTCTGATTATGATGGTTGATCTGGGACAAGCTCCTTTACTTGTAGTTCCTCACTGTCAATAACAACAAGTGTCATCACTCCACTGCTGACTGACTCTGCCTGGGCTGATAAAATAATCGCCCTTTTCACATCCTATTCTCACTTTTCCTGCTTTATTCTTTGCTGATGATGCTACTCTGCTGCAGTAGACTGTCTTGAATGCTGCCATTTAATCATATTTTCCACAGAGCTTTAACCAAGTGGTTTTAATGTGTAAACTTAAACATGTGTTGATCAAAGCGGTCAAAGAACAGAAAATGCTCATGGGACATTTTGTAAGGCACTGACTAATAACTGGTTTTGTGTCTAACAGCAACGGACTGTGCAACACGCAACACGACAGGACGCAACGGGCAGAACAGGGAAGGTAGTCAGGAGGACAATGCTGAGGACAATACAGAGGACAATACAGAGGACAATGATGCAGACAATGCAGAGGACAGTGATGGGGACAGTGATGGGGGTAATGGTGAGAATATAGGTATGCTCAACTTAAGAAATGCCAGCTAGTAAGAAAAAATAGCTGTTCTGAAGGCTGCGTGACAGAGCAGGTGACTTGGCCAGATCCAGCCACTAGGGGCGCTATCGCGCTCAATCGGGCCGAGTGCTGCTGCTTGTGAGGGAGAGGAGTAGAGACTGACGACGGTGAGACGTGTGTATGGCGGGCAGTAGAAGTTGTGTTTGCTATTTTGTATCAGTTGATCTGCCGTTTGTGGTTCAGTGTGCGTCCAGAGAAACTTAAGTTATGTTGTTTATTTGCTGGATGTAATGTCATTGTTGTATATTTTATCAGTTTATATGTCTGCTGGTTGAGATTATATCTGGTTCTACAATGCATATTTCTACTAGTGTTAACTCTTACCTCTGATGGTGTAAATGGTAATTTATGTTATATTTATTCCACTGACCATTTCCGTTGTTGTCAGTTAAATATGGGATATATCATATAATGTATATTCCTTCTCTATATGATGTTCATATAATTTCATGCTAAGGATGATTATATTATTATTTAATTTGTGTGCTATAGTTAAGCACATTGTGAGCTGTTATTGATGGCTGTTATTGTTTTGGGTTATTCCAGAACCACACTGGATTAAAGCACCATAAATGGATTGATTGTCTCCTTCCTAATTTGTATCTAAGTCTTGGGGGAACTTTAGGTGCGTTCTAGCAGACGCACACTTCGCGATTACGAATCAGAGAAGCCAGTCTACTATCTTTGAGCCTCCGCCACAATAGCTTTTGTTCCATCCACATTTTATCAGGTGTTTTATGAGCTATAATAATAATACTAATAATAATATTATAATTATTATTAATAATAATAATGATAAAGATAATGGCAGTGATAATAATAGTAATACTAGTATTTTTTATTTATTTTATTTATTTATTATTATTATTGTTTTGTGCGGTTTTGTTTTGGTGTTTTTGCGTCACGTTATCTTGTTTTACTGCCCTTGAAGAACTCTAGAATCCGTTTACTATATATAAAATGTTTTTATTATAGAACCTTGTCATTTGGTCCAATATTCACAACCAACATTACAATTTGATTGAATCAGTATTAAGTAAATGTGTTTTTTGTGTGCAGTTAGCAATGTTTGAAGAAGCAAATACAGACAGTACAACCATTTCATCCAGAACTACTTTCTATTTAAATGTTGATTCCTGATTAAAATGCAGCTGCAGGGAATTGTTCAGAAGTTCTTCCTGATGTGTTGATTAAATTTGACCAGAAGGGACAATAAAAAGCACTTAAAGACTGTTATTATTTTAAGGTCACTACATATATATTTTTTATATTTGGGTTTTATATGCATATTTTTTTATTTTTTTATGACTGTGCTGCTTTTTTGTGTGTTTTGCTTCATTTTATCTTGTCTTGCTGCCTTGTGATGACTGTATTTTAAAACACATTGTACTACTAGAACTCATTTGATATAAAATGTTTTTAACTTGTACCTGACATTTTGTTCTTATTTGGTCTGATATTTTGGGGAAGTGCAGAATCTTTAAGTTTATTGCAGCTGACCAATTAATGTTCTACGACACTGAACTGAAAGAAGAAAATCAAAGTCAGTCTGAGTTTGTTAGAACTTCATTGTGTATAACTCTCAGTAATTAATAGTAGAATATTTAAAGGATATTAATGTTCATTTCTCAATGCACAAACAGAATGATGCTACCTGAACAACATGAAGCTGCAATAGTTCAATGTATTACTGTATGTGAGAGTGTACCACTGTAGCTCCAACCTTTACTTATACTGTCTCTTACTTTAAACCAAAACACCAATGCAATGGATTTTTCTCTATTACATTTTTTAATGGGCGTGTACTTCTGATGGTATAGCGCCATATCCTCCTTCACTGCCATCAGTAAAGGAGTGCGGACAGGTGGTCCAAAGTCCTGTGGTTTCAAGCACCTGCAGTCAACCAGTTGATCCACTGCTGCCATATGACTGAATGTCTTGATCCCAGCCACAGTTCTTTCAATGAGTTTGCTTCCGGTCTTTGCTGTCCATGTGGAAGTTGAAGGTGTCTCTCTCCACGTGCTTTTGGAGCCCTAAAGCTCTTTCCCCTGTGATCAGCTTTAATAGCAGGCTAGGTGAGAACATTTTCCAGAGAAGCTGCTGTGATCTTTGTTTCTCTTGTAGGAGAGCGTTGGCTGTTTCAAAGCCTCTCTCTCTCTCTCTCTCTCTCTCTCTCTCTCTGCTGGCTTGTATTTTGTTGTATGATGAACATTTCAGATATTTCACTTTGCCTTTGTACAATCTGTAGCGTGGAACTGTCACCAACTGCATGTGCAACCAGTTATTTTTGCTCTTGTGAAAGGTTTTATTTTCCATTCATGTTGTGGAGTTTTTCATCTTCATCTTTCTTGGCCTCTGCTTTCTACTGTAATGTATGTGAGTGAATTACTGATTGATCATTTGACCTGAACAGAAATCACACTGATGATGATGATGATGATGAACATGGGATGGGCATTGAAGTCAAACTTCTTCTCATGATATGTCTCAAGCACAAATTGTCTAATTTTGCTGCTTTTGTGTTTTCATTAATATTTGAATGTCTTTGTTTACTGAATTTGGAGCAGATGATGTCGGTAAAAACTCTGAGTTCAAAAACAATGAGCTTCAAAGTTGTTTGTGTATAAGCAGCCACATTTGCATATTATTTTTACTATTTGTGGGATAGAAATTCTCATTGTAAAATAAAAGTGCTGTTTGATTGTGTTCAATTCACCTTTTTACTTTGTTTGTGTTCTGCATGATTGAGAGTCACTCACAAGCTGGACCAATCAGAGCACACCTGGGACAAAGCATGTCTCTCTAAAGAGGGCAACATCAACTAAACATCAAGATCCATATTACATACATACACATTAAACCCCACACATCAGAGATTGAGTCAAATGGATTTAATTAATCACACAAATCATCCATAAAAAACAATTATTATAAAACTATGTAAAAAAAATACATAGAAAAATAGTAATTGTTCTATAGTAGTGCTAAATGAACCAACTGGGCAGAATTTGTGCAGTATTTGCTTTCTGATCAAAGATAGAAGATTTTTGGGATATGTGTCTTTAACAATGTCCAGATGTTTCACAGCTTAAAAAACTGATTATGGTTGTAAAAATATAATATAAAATAATAATAATATAAAAGTGCTTTTTAAAAATTACGTTGTACAGCGCTTCACAAGATGGCAAAAACGAGCACAAATACAGTAATAAAATACCAGCTCCATCCCTACAGTTGTTTAAAAAATCTGGTTCAGTCAGAGTTCATATCAAGAAGAACCTCTGAACAGTGCAGCTGCATTTTAATCCGTACAAAATCAACATTCACGTATAAAAGATTCGACAGAATACTTGGCCCCTCATTGTTGGAATTTCTGTAGGACGATGTCGTCATTATGTGCGTATTTCTTCCTAGTGTCAATGACAAACAGCGCCACCAGGAGGTCTTAGGCCCGAGCTACAGTTAACATTTGGACATTTTGACTCTAGGAGATTGTTAAAGACAGTTTGAGGAACAGCTGAGAGTTGAGAGCTTAATTGAACAAACAGTGATGATTTAGACATGATATAAAACGATCCATCAACCAGGAGGTTTTACTGGAAGTACCTGATAAAAAATGTTTGAGTGCAATAAACGTTTGGCAGCTGGGTCAAAGAACCAAGAGTTAAGCTCAAGTATTTGTGTCACTGGTGTGTTTCTCATGGTGTTCAGACTCAGGACTGTTGTCAGCATCAGAGTAACAGTCCATCCATGTTTTTCCTGTTGTGTCCTCTCCAGTTTTGCCTTGCACACGTATCTGTACGACACAAAACAGATGATTAGTCAGCGCTTTCCAAAATGGCTCATGAGCTTTTTTCTGTTCTTTGACCTCTCCAGTCCACACAGGGTTACGTTTAATCAGGTACAACTACAGCAGCATTCAACACAATCTACTGCAGCGGATGTTTAAAAGTTTGAAATCTGAGGCAGCAAAGAAAACCCTGGTGCCCTCTCAGATGCTAATCCTAACTCTAAGCCTTTGCACCATGAATGCACCAGGATGTCAGCCTCTTAATTCAATACAATCTGTCCTCAAAACCCATTTAAGGGGAAAACTTTGGTGAAAAAACTGCACAGAAAAGTCACAAATCAGTTGGTACATAGAGAGGTTAAACTGAGATTTAAGGTGACCTCAGAGAAACATTCCTCTTCAGCAGGTTCATGTGAGAACAGCCTTCTAGTGTTTAAACAGGAGGAATGATTACAGCAAATGGAAACTGTTGCACTCTACATGTGGGGACTTTACTAATGCTTTAAGACAGATTTCAAAACTGTGAACCAAATATGAGAAAAAATTAAGAAAGAGGAAATGTGTGACTTACTGTTCTTCAGTAGAACAGGAATATGAACGTAACCAGCGTAAGTGCAAATGTAGGTCCCTGAGAGGACAGAGGAAAGATGTTAAGATTTGTTCTTGGCTTCTAAGATAACATCCATCCATTCTCCATTCCCGCTTCTCTGTCTGAGGGTCACAGTGTGCACTCGGAGAGGCTGTTTGTTACTTTGCACACTGGTATTAGTGTTTAAAATATTCTCTGAGAGTAAAAGTGCCATCTGTCCGTCAGGCGTGAAATCGGCGCCCAGCGTACTTTCTGGGGGCCTCCAGAGTGACTCCCTCACTGAAATCCTGCCTTGACGAGAGGACTGACATATTCTTTTCATTTTGACACTCAAACAGCGAGGTGACCTGTGGTTGTAAATGCCGTAGACAGGCAGGCGCTGTTTCAATTATTGCATGAAAATATTTTTTTAAGTTTATTTAAGTTAAGTGGTTAAAAATGAAATGTAAAATGCGTTTTTCATTTTCAAACATAATATGCAATATGTATTAATACTTTAATATATATGTTACAGTATAAAACAACTCAGACACTTTAATATACAAATTAATACTTTAATATATATATTTTCTGGCATTTTTCTGACATTTCTATACTTTACTTACACTTGGGTTCGCTTTGTTCTTGATCTGGTTGTCTGTACCAACTGCTGAGAAAAGACCAAAGTGATGAAGATGAGACAAATTATGAAGAATGTCACTACAAGCTTTTATTGTATCATTTTGCGTATATATATATATATATATATATATATATTTTTTAACTCATCACAGTGTTAGCAGTATGATCTAAGCAGGCACGTGTTTCTCCTGTTTAAAAAAAAGTGGGTTGGTTTAACGAAGAGAAGAGTGACGGAGTGAGATATGGTGGATACCTGATGATCTTTAACACCTGACACCCTCCAGATTCAACAGAGTGATATCTGCAGGTACAGAATATAACAGGATAGAGTAACAGCACTTTTATTTAACTTACCACGATCCTGCTGGTGCTTTGTCTCTGTGTCTGTGGACAAAAAAACAGAGCCAATCTCATCAGACTGTCCTGGGAAACAAACAATGCATTGTGACTTATTGTTGCAGCATTATGAAACACTTGCAACTGCTTGGCAACAGCTCATCTTTTAGTCGAATGAAGAGTGTGTAAGAGTTGAAATGATGGAATTTAATGATGCTGTGTTGCCTAGATACAAGAGAAATGTCATCAGACAGCCGCCTGTCTTATGAAGAATGTCATTACAAGCCTCTGTTGTATCATTTTGTGGTTCAGGAGGAATGAGTTTGAGTGTTTTGATGTACAAAATAAAGCTCAGCTAAAGGCTGTATGAGGCTGTACTTACAGGCACAGCAGTGGAAAACACAGAATGTCCCAAATATATAGATATATGATATATAAGCATATATATAATTCTAATTCAAAGTGTGTTTTAAGCAAACTCATGGGGACATTTATTAATGTTCAGAGACTGATGTTTATTTTTCTGTCTGATCACAAGGACAAAGGTTTATATTTCTCTGTGCGATCTGGCTGTAATGAATTAAACTGATATGATTATTGAATCTCTTTGAGTATATTACAGTAAATGGTTTTAATAGTTTTATCTGATACAACCCAAGGCTTTTCCTCCTTCGTGTTCACCCTGAGCTGGGCTTTAACTATATTACACTAAATGATTACAGTAAAGTTTAATTTAAGTTTAATCATTCTGTTTTATCTGATTTAACTGGATTCATGTCTCTCGCGTTCCTTGTTTCAGCACTTTGTAAATTACTCTGTACTTGGACAATAACTTACTGGCAGAGCTTTAGACGTGGGTGGCATGATGTATGCGTCTCAGCTTTCCACTAATTCCCACTTTATGCAGTTCCAGCACTGTTTAAGGACCCCAGTATGCAGACATATTCAAATACCCCAACAAGCATACCAAGCAATGAAAGCAGGAGTTACACTGTACTGCTTACCAACGATGAGTTCAGTACTGCAGGAGATTCGTTCTCTTCTAGTTCCAACAGAGCAGCTGTACGTCCCAGCATCAGTTTTACCCACTGAAGAGATCTTCACTGGGAGTTTCCCTTCCGACAGACTCACACTGCTGTCAGGAGATGCTCTGCCTTTGAATCGCTCTCCCTGGTCAGCAGGAGAAAAACCCAGACTCCTATAAAGGAGAACGAGCTCAGACTCGTTTAATTTCCATTCAACTGTTTTGTGCGTCACATCACGTCGAAGCTTCAAGTGGCAGTCCAAAGTGACGTCCTCTCCCACTGCTGCTACAACCGGGCTCGGCTGGCACGTCAACAGGTCCCTTTCTGTAACAAGACATAAAATAAATAATAAAGTGACGGAGTGAGATATGGTGGATACCTGATGATCTTTAACACCTGACACCCTCCAGATTCAACAGAGTGATATCTGCAGGTACAGAATATAACAGGATAGAGTAACAGCACTTTTATTTAACTTACCACGATCCTGCTGGTGCTTTGTCTCTGTGTCTGTGGACAAAAAAACAGAGCCAATCTCATCAGACTGTCAGACTGTTTATGAAACACATTAAAACGGGGACTGCTTGGCAACAGCTCATCTTTTAGTCGAATGAAGAGTGTGTAAGAGTTGAAATGATGGAATTTAATGATGCTGTGTTGCCTAGATACGAGTGAAACGTCATCAGACAGCGCCACCGCCTGTCTTGAGTCTCAGCTCAAGAGCAACCGGACTTGATAAGGTTGATGTGTTAGTAACAAACAACACATTGTGGAATGAAGAGCAAAGGACACAGGAGAGATATCTGCATGTACATAATAAATTACCGTAAAGACAGCACTTCAGTTTTACTTACCACGACCAATTCTTGCCTCTGCCTTTGGCTTTGGCTCTGTGTCTGTGGAAGAAATACAAGATAAATAAAAATAAGAGTGAGATATGGTGGATACCTGAGCCGACCTGGCAACCCTAAAGCTGTACTACACACTGTCAGGACTAAACAGGCCAATCTGAAGCAGCTGGTATCATTGGTTTATTTATGGAAGCGTAGAGCATTTACCAAAGAGGAAATATCACAACCTCTCTCATATTGATGAATTAATTCCAGAACTTCAGTTTAACACTACTTATACCTTAGCCTTAATTAATATAAAACCTTTTCTCATAATTACAAGCAAACGATGTCATGGTAATCGTCTGGTAATGATGATAAACTCGTAATAATCCTCTCTTTGGTAAATGCACTGCGCTTCCTTACTTTGATGGTTAGATGCTGGCATTGTGCTTAGTAAGAAAAGGAAAAGAAAAGAAAAGGTTAAATAAAATGTTATGGTATGTTTATTACTGAAAGCAATAAAATATAAGAAACAGTGGGTGGTGACGGGATTAATGGATAAATACAAAATAAATGATGTAACTTAATTCCAGCTAATTTGGTGGCGTATTAATTAATGTATAACTGAATTAACATTCCTTTATTGATGATTAAGTATGAACTAATTAAATCGATCATTTGTTAACAGGGAGGAACAGGATGGATCCTAAATTACATTCAAGTATTAAACCATGAGTCATGCATTAGTTAATTATTATTTAAGTGGCCTGTATGATTTGGAGCTTTATTATAAAGTGTGTAAAGTGAGTTTATTCCATCAATTATTCCAGAAATAGTTTGGATCAGCAGGTTGAACCACATCGTACCTTTAGAGTCAGGCTACGCCCTCTAAAACAAAGAGAGAGACCAGATTGAGGAGATGAAGGGTCAATGATGTGGAACATTAAGCCTTTTTTGAAAGAACCAAAGTGGAACAATGACAGCGTTGTTTTTCACTTAAAGGTGAACAGGCGTGTACCTGAAGGCCACAAACGGACATCAGAGGAAAAATAAACCACAGCATGACTCATATTAATCAGTATGTGTATCAATGGTCACAGTCAGGTTGTAATCTTATACAAAAGAGTTACACATGAGGTTTTAATCTGACATCTTTAAATATTAAAAACAAACACTGTCATCCACCATCCACTTTACGGTGGATGAGGCCTTGATGGGCCAACAGAACTTTAACCCGGCAACAAACTGCAGAATAACTAATGAATTATTATCTTAAAGTACAAGTCAATATACAATATTGAATTGTATTGAATGTAATATAATGTAAGTTAGCAAGAGTTTGTCAGTCCTACCTCTGGCAGCGATGAGTAATATAAAAATCCAAACCAATACAGCAAGAATCAGTCCAGCTTTCCACTTCATCACTGGATCGATGTGTCAGCCAGTCTTTAACGTTTGGTTTCACACAAATGTTTTCACAATTAGCTTAGTCATTCATGCTTTTTCCCTTTTCTCTCTCTGTTCACTTCCTCAAGTAAAGACATTTCCTGATATTCAGCCAACCAATCAGAGGAAGGTCCGAGTCAGTTTCGCTTTCAATGGGATCCTGGTTTTGATAACACTGCCACTTACAGGAGTGGATGTGTGAATCAGCTTTTATTTGTTCGACATTAAAGTCCAGCTGAAATGACAAATGTTATATTGTGGCCCTCTTTAACAATGTATGCCATACCTTGCAATTAAAGGAATGAGTTAGGACGCTCCTATGCAGCCTGTTAATGATCCAATTTACAGGTTTATTGTGGTTGATACATACACAGTGATGGTAATTGTACATGTGACAATCTCACTTTCTGGCTCTTCTTTTAATGGACTCATAGGTGAGAAGATGAATTGTTTGTAGAATAAAACAAATGATTATTATGTCCAGTCTATAAACAAGATTCTATGTGACAGTCAGATTAACCCTAACCGTTATTGGAATTATTCAGAGGGGGGTATGAAGGGGTATCATAAGGAAGACCATAGTTTAATACAGAAATGTACAGAACAGGTAGTATTACCAGAACAGTGTTACACATTGTCAGATCATTCTATGGAAACGTCCATTTTTTGTCCCTACCGTTTACAGAAATATTACACTGGAAAACACTCAAATAATTGATTTATATTTTCAAATAAATAAATAACTTATTTGAACAATTACAGCTTCGACCATCAATATGGCAATAATTGTTTGTTTTTTATCCTAAAAGACCTAGATTATCAAGTTCAGTTAAACCCTGGTGAAAATAAGTTAAAAAGAGTTGAAACTGTCTAAATACAACAGACGGTTATTGATGGTTGATATGACACTCTCCAGCCCTGAATAATCTAAACCAAAAGTCTACAGACAAACAGACATAAAACCTCTCTTTCACCTCAGTGGACTCACCATCGTCTGACAGAGAGAGACACATGAGAGTCAACCCCCTGAAGACTGAGACACTGTAGAGTCTCACAGAGCTCACATTACCAAAGTTGAGACAAGCGGCGATGGACAGACTGCCTTCACAGACTCACTGCAGTTTCACTTTGTGTGCAAGGTGGAGCCAATGGATCTTTGTGTGTCCTGACATTTGGATAATAACAAATTACACAACACAGGCAGCAACAAACAACCTAGTTTAAAATCTAGTTTTATAGCATCTATAACAACCTGTTGTCACAAATAATGGATATGAAACAACTTAATGATGTTTTCATCCGGCAGCTGAATCCAAACCAGCAGAAACGACAGGAACCCACTGCAATACAGACTGCAGTGGGTATTTCTATTCAGTGCCAAGCAAATATTGATACATGTGATTGTGTGTGATTAAATCAGCAGAGATTTCTGCCCCTTAAAGTCTCCATGCCACCCTCTTACCACGCCATGAATATTTCTTTGGCTCCACCCCTGACTCTTTTGTGTGTGAAGCACAAAGATTACATTCAGTATTTCTGGCTTGGATTCTTTGTTGTTGCTTATTAGAGAGGAAATCAGCGTGAGAGGTGGTGTTGGTGTTGTATGGCTTATTAAATGGAGTTGGAGGCAGAAACTCTTTCCTTCAACCAAGTAGTCATAATTAATCGGGTTTTTTTGGCCCTTGGGCATCAAAAACTGACTATCTTGGATATTATATGTAGATCCTTTGAATGATTGCTATCAGCATGCAATACTGAATTGTGTTCTATGTCTTTATGGTAGACTGAAATGTGAATGGCTCCAGTTAGATCCAAGTAACGGATTTTCTTAGCCCTGAGTCCCCATCACTCAGTGATACTGAGTTATTGTCATATGATTTTAGAAGGCCATATCTTAAAAACAGGAAGAACACAAACCTGTTACTCTCCCTCATCACAGCATGGTCCCCAGGATGGTCGGTCCAGGATCGTCCCTGTTTACAAGAAAATACTCCCTCCAATATCCTGCTGAACACATATCAACGACACAAAAGTTATTAGTCAGTGATTTCTGTTGTTCTGTTGCATAATATGGCCTCATTAAGACTGGTGCTGTGCTGGGTTCTGCATTATATAGATCAGATCTCTGCTCAAAACCTGGTTCTATTTAAATGCATTTCATTGATGATTCCCTGATTAGTTGTGTCAATGAGAAAGGTGTAACCCGTAGAGATGAACCTATATCTTGGTTAAAGGTTTTTAGACATGCAGACATCTGTACATTCTTGTCACATTATGTCACATTGAATTCAAGGTGAATATATAATAACTGTTATTGACACTGTTAGACTCACCTGACAGAGAAGATCAAATACAGCAGTAGAAGAAAACAGTGGACAGTGTCTCTCCTCTGGGAGGAACCAAGACGGCAGTAGAGGGGGCGATGATAAACTGTAAACAAATGAGACCTCTTTTCCACGCCCCCCTTCAGGGTGATACAACCACTGTATTGGAGAGTATTTTTAGGGAAGTTGGACGGAGGAAGTCTCGACCACAGAACTAAACGGTTCTAGGTTCTGCGTTTTGCTCCGAGGCTGCCAGGATGTCTCCAGTGACTGCAGATGCTCACAATAAAACCTGAAACTATGAAAATTAAAGTTTTTATTAAAAAGGTTTTTATAAATCTTTTATAAAATATTAAGGACACACTGACACATCGCTGCAGTGATGAAGAGGAGCACTGGACCGATTCTGATCATTATTTCTCTGCTAATGGACGCAGCCTTAGGTAGGCTTTGTAGACTGTTACTAACTGTATTATATATAAACCTACAATAATATATTCTATATATTCTTTACTATATCCGTTAGTTTATTAACGAGCTGCAGTGACAGTCAGTAAACAGCAAACAAACAAACAGTAAACATTGAGGAAGGGCGCTGGTCAACACTGTCATTTATCATCATCACAATCATTATCAGCTAAAGAGACACTAACTCTTCTTTTTATATGTTTATTTTACCAACATAGTGCACTGCGCAATCTGACGGTACAAACACCTTTAATATGTTCATTAGATACTGTATGTATATAGTAACGGCAGAAGGATGAAGGAAATACACGTGGCTCTTCACTCTATTGAATGAGGAAGAGGAGACTCACTAGTTGCATAGTTTTCATTTACATTAACAGCTACTATTAATGAAATGACATATTTTGAAAATAGATACTATTATAACTGAAATTATGTT